TGTTTTTCAGGGCAAAGAGTGCTTTGACTCCAGCCTGTCCTTGTGTAATTCTTGTCCTAGAACTTAGATGTGTGACATTTGCACCAGCAGCTTGCCACTGTTTGTGGTGAAGTTGCCATTTTGAGGCAGCCTACTTGAGAACTTTTGGGGGCTTTTACCTTACGTAGGCCTGACTAATGTCAAGCTGCCTTTTTTTTGCTTCCCCCTGTGTCTAAAGATAACCTTGTCATTCCATGGAAGCTCAGCTGTATTCCTGAACTGATTTTTCTCATCAATTTAAAAATGGTTCTGTATGTAGCTGGTATGAAGAAAAATTATCAAAGTAACAGCAAAATTTAGAGGTGTCCCAGCTCATTGCTTTTTGTGTAGCAAGATGGTTCCCTGCTCTCCTTTGTGAGCTGGTCAGTTAGACTGGCTTAAGCTCAAGGGAAAGGTTGGGATAAAGCAGCTGCAGGCAAGCCTGCTTGTTTCAGAAGTAGTTTTGATTATGCTGGATTAGTGTCTGTGAAACCATGGCTGTGCAGTGTCTTTCCACAATGTAGCTGCTGCTGAAGGATTCTCCTGCCCTCCATGGTTGCCTGATGCTGGTGTTTTTGGCTGTCTGAACTGGTTAACTGGAGGTTCTAACACATGCCAGTGGTAGCATGAAAGAGGGAACAGGAGTGCAAAGCAGACAAGGAAATGTGCATTTTGACAGGTGACTCTTAATTCAGTTTAGCTGTACTGTCAAACTGTTCTTTGAAGCTTTGAACTTACAAGCTGTTTCTCGCAGATGGACAACTTCAGCAGGTTTTTACTTAATATATTTATGTTAAGCCTGCTTTCTGAAAGAAATGGGTCTTGTGTGATCACATTGCTTCTATTTATCACATTTAATAACTTTGGAGCACTGCTAGCCAAATTAATTCAAACCTTCTGGAAGAGTAGAGTCTGGGAGGCAGAACTTTCCTAATATTTTGAAGCTTTCTAGAGAAGTGATACACAAATTCTTCTTTCTAAGAAGGGAAGCACTTGAGAGAACTGCTTGTTCCATTTATCTTGCCAGCTGGTGAAGTACTGAATTATGGTAAGACAAAAGAGCCATAGTGAAAACTAGGGCTGTGATGACATTTTAATAACCACAGTAAATTTATATACTGAGGTAGCAGAACTCTCAAATTTAGGTGGGAATTAGATGTGTGGTCAGTTTTCCTGTATTTTGAAGTTTGGAGTGTGCATAAACAAAAGTATAGGTTGCTAGATACTCCATTTGGGGAGTGAAAAGACTTTTGTCCATATCATTAGCATATTCATGTTGCCTGATATGCATTTCATCTGAAGAGTTATGTACAATTCTGGCAAAATTGCTGCTGTGAATCAATTAAAGACAACATTTATTAATGTACTGGACCCTGATACATTATGAATGATATGTCAAAACATATTTTCTAGTTCTATCTATCAGTCTTTCATGTTTTGTTCTCTAGAAATATCCCTGAACTTAAACTTGACTGGTGGCTTATTAATGCTGGAATTTTAGGAAGACCCCTGGAAAAAAAGTGTTTGTGAGATTAATAAAATGTGGAAGAAACTGAATTTAAAAATAAGTCCATAGTACCAAACATGATACTGGTTTATTCCTGTGTGCTTCTAAAAGTAGTCTAGGTTCCAAAAACTGGAGGCCTCACACATTTTTCTTTCCCAAGAAATAAAAATAAAACTGTCTTTTCCAAGAAACCTTTACATTTCTTTGGGTAGGAGAGTGAGTATCATTGTATTAAGGAGAAAATATGTTGGGGTGGGATTTTTGTTTTACTTTGTGTTTGGGGGTTTTTAACATCATAAAACTAGGACTAATTTTATTTATGAAATATACAAACAAAGGAACTTGTTTTAAGCAAATTATCCCTGAGCTTGTGACTAAAAAAGGATTTTTGGGGACTGTCTAAAAATATCTGTCCTGTTTCTGACATGCAGACTTTTGAGCAAAATGGCTTTTCATTTTGTAACCACTTGATTTGATTATGTAGTGCTCACCAGTCACTTTACACTGAGGCTTTTTGCATATGTTGCAACTAATTAGACCTTCGCCAGGAGCCAGAAAACGTCAGTCTGCTCAGTGCAGTGATTGCAGAGCTCACAACAATCGTTTAAGTGCAGCTGTCAGAGGATCTCACCGTCCATCCTCTCGAAATCCCAATGAGAAAGGGAAGGCAGTCCGCAGCCGGGAAAAAAAGGATCAGCAAAATAAAGGAAAAGAGGAGAAGGTAAGCTTGCAAATAACTTAATGAAATGGAGAAACTCAGTCTTGCTTTCTTAATATTTGAGTGTATGACAAAGTTAGATGCCTATAAAATGTTTCTTCTGTTAAAGTCAGTGTGCTCAGTTCAGTCTCGCCTTGTAAGGTGTCTTTGCCTTATGGACAGTCTTGGTTATAGATTAATGAAAAAGACCAACAAACCCTCATCTAGTGGAAGTGATCTGGGAATTGTTGGCTTGTTTACTGCAACTTGGAGATAGTTGTTTAAAATTATACCATTGAATTACTGAATGGAGCCTAATGGGGCTCAGTCAAATGGGGTGTTCTTGTGAGTTCTTTAACTGCTATTTGAAAGTGAAGACTGAGATTGACTTGACTATTGCAAAGCATTTCAAGATGTAGTTAAAGGGAGATCTTTACTTTGTTGTTGTTGTTGAGATCTTGTATTAGCACCAGACTCTTTTCAGTTTAAACCAAACAAAAAACCCAACATAATGAATGAGAGAGAATTACCTGGAAGCTACTCTTTGTAATCAGAGTGCTTTAATTTTTGCTTGTGCTCTGGTCTCCATAAACTTAGCTGATGACCAGACTAAGAGATTATACTGGACACAATAAATTGTTTCCCAGAGTCTGAATAAATATTCATGTACTAGAGTTCATTAGCTTCAGCCACCTTATGTTGTGGCAAGGTGTCATGACCTGTGGAACTAGTAAAAACTTCAAGGGTGGAATTGTTTAGCTATATAAACTACTGCTTTTATTAGGAGCTAAATTAAATTATTTTAATTGTAATCCCCTCTCACTAAGGGCATACACACACAGAGACAGGGTAGGTCTTTTTTCTTTTTTACAGTTGTTCTGTCATCACCAGTGTTGCTGTTAAGTGTATAGAAACCCAGGGTATGTCTAGTGCATTTTATTTCCTTTCAGTTGCATGGTCTCTGCTGTTTGAGCCCTTTCAATTGTGTAGCTTCTTTGCTTCTGCTGTATTGCAGAGCTGCTTCCCTGCTGTTCTTGTCTATGCTTCTCTATCAGTTGATTAGCTCTCTTTTACTTCTGTGGTCTTCCTGCAGATCACCTTTGCTCATTCTAAATGTGGAAGACCTGCTTAATTTTTTCTAGTGTTCCATACATATGGCATATTTATGACACCTCCAGGATTTGAGATTCTCTAGCTCAGTGTAACACTGTCCGATTCAGTCTCGTATGTAATCCCCCCTGCCCAGCTATTGTCTCAGTTTTTTTATTTTTCTTGGAGAAGAGGTGAATACTTATACTGGGATATAGGTATGTGCAGTGTTGATTACATACTGAAGCAACAAAACTGCATCAGTATAATATGCTGGCCTTGGAGAGAAAGAAATGGGACCAGGGCAGTACAGAGGTCTTGGTGACCCACACAGACTTTGCAGTGCAGCAGTAGTATGAACGGATTGTAATTGTCATGCTGGTTTATATTGCAGCCTTCTAGAAATATGCTGGTATTGCGGAGTTACAGAAATCTGCTAGTAGCGTAACCATTACAACATATTTACATTGTTATATCCTTTACATTTAGAACAAATCCACATCTGAGATTTCAGAGTCTGAACCAAAGAAATTTGACAGTACTGGATATGATAAAGACTTAGTAGAAGCTTTGGAAAGAGATATAATTTCTCAGAATCCCAACATTAGATGGTAAGTTTTAATACTGCTGCCAGTAAAGTTAAGTTGCTTCTTTTTTCCTCTTATATGATATGACAACAATTTAAGTATTTTAATGTGTTCTTGCATATAAAAAGTACCTACAGGTTTTCTTGTTAAATAGGCAACTCAACTTCTTGTGTAATTGAATATTTTTAGAGCTCTCTTTTTCTACCCACAGATTAATAGAACAGTTTGGGTTGAAAGGGACCTTTTAAAGGTCATCTAGTCCAACCCCCTGCCATGGTCAGGGACATCTTCAACTAGATTAGGTTGTTCAAAGCCCTCTCCAACTTGACCATACAAAGCTTCTCAAACTTTTATAAGAGTCCTGAAATCAGTCTTTGAGATACTCTTTTGCAATGTGTAAGATTCTAGTGTCTGCCAGGGTCTCTTAATTTAAAAACCTGTTTTACTACACAAGGGCTTATCAATATCAAAAAACAATTATCAAAGAAATTATGTCAATATAGGAACCCTTTGAAATCTTTCTGGATGTGATGTGACTGCCAGTGTAAAACATAACTGTGTCAGTACCTTTACATAAATGTGTTAAATATTAAACCTTATACAAAGGTTGGTTTGTGTTCCAAATGTTTCTAAGCTTAGGTGATTTTGTGAGGATTAAATGAGCAAAAATCGTCTGGCAAATAAAGTAGGCTTTAAAAAAAAACAACCCAACAATTCCACAAACAACTTTGTGTGCGTGCAGATGTCACGTGTTTCAGGTTAATATGTAAATGCATGTTTCCATGTTTATGTTTAATATTAAATTACAAATTCAGATTTTAAACTAATTATCCATATTAGCAAAAATATTGCTTGGCCCCATGTGGGTAAGCGGATGTCCTGAGAGTTACTCTCAAGAAAATAAGACCAGCCTATAAAGGTATCTAAGAACTAATACTTTTGTTACTCTGAAAAAAGAATTCTAAAAATTCTGTTTAATTTAGCTTCATTCAGTCTTCAGTAAGTTATTCTCATAACTATGAAAGATGGCATTCAGGTTTTGGGCAACAGCCAGGTTCTTGACAAAAGAAGAAAGCATCATCTGTAACTAGCATAAGTTTAACTAACTTGCCTTGTTCTCCTTATTCTTTTTGTGAATAAAAACAACAGAGCTCTAGTGAAACAGTTAATGTCTTTCTGGAGTCCACTAGCCAGATGTCAACTGTAGTTGTAGGCTTTTGCCCCTAAAATGTATATAAATCCAATTCACTTTCCTGAATTATGGAAAAGCTGTTACATAACCAGTTTGATTGCATATTGTTTTGAACTGTGGACTGATTCTTTTGCAGCCTGTCTGAATCTGTCAAACAACTTTCTGTTTCTTGCCAGGGATGACATTGCTGATTTAGTAGAAGCCAAAAAGCTGCTTAAGGAAGCTGTAGTTTTACCAATGTGGATGCCAGAGTTTTTTAAGGGAATTAGAAGACCATGGAAGGTATGAAAAGAAGTCTGATTTCCGTGGTCATGAGTAAGATTCTGAGATTTGATCTTGTTGGAACAAGAGATTTCAAGTGTTTTACAGTTTACATGCATTATTTTCATTTCTAGTAACAAAATGCGTAGTAAATAGTACTCACAAAATAAAGATGTCAGCCAAAGAAATATACTGTTTTCAGCTGTATTGTTGCAAATAAGCAATAGTAATTACTTTTGAGCAACTTTTCAAGGGAGAGTTTATATCTAGCATTTTAATATTACACTGCTAAATAAACTGTTTTGATTCTTGTAATAAGTGGTTGTTTTCCATTTTAATAGGGTGTGCTGATGGTTGGTCCTCCTGGTACTGGAAAGACCCTCCTGGCAAAAGCTGTAGCTACTGAATGCAAGACTACTTTTTTCAATGTTTCTTCTTCAACACTTACCTCAAAATACAGAGGAGAATCTGAGAAACTTGTTCGTCTGCTGTTTGAAATGGTGATTGAAGTTTCTGAACTTAAATAGTGAGATAATGAAGTAAAATTACTTCTGGAATAGTGAAACCTTGCCAAGATCTAGAACTCATATGTAAGCAGCTCTCCAAGCTTCAACCACTTTAGGACCACCTGATAAGGCTGTTTACATTCAAGATCTGTTTGTTCCTAAATAGCTTTATAAAACTGAAAAATAAGGTTGTCTCTATTTTCAGGGATAACTTTCTGCATTAGAGGTAGCTTCCTGTAAGCTGATGGGTGCTGTAGAGCATACTTGAATGTAAAACTGGAGATGGAACCTAATTCGCACCTGGGTGAGAACCCTGTTTAGGCTGTGTATGGGTTTTTTTAATTGTGGTGGATGTTTGTGTAAGTTCAAACTGAACTTGGCTTTTAGAGCATGCAACCCTTGAAATTGGCTCAGAATATGTAGACTTTTTTCATGTGTTACCAGGTTTGCATGCAGTGTTTGCTAGGGTGACTGATACTGAAGGGGGCAGCAAAGCTGCAAATACGGTGGTCAGAAAAGTCAGTAAATAAGACCTTTTACAATATAGTTTGATCATATTAAATGAGTTAATATCACATCTATCAATCAAAAATGCATATACACAATGGACAGCATTTCAACTTCTATAGAACAGTAGCACTTATTATTGTGGGTCCTTGTCTTTGACCTCTTGTTTTCAAAAAGGTTGGAGTTATTTTGCAGTTGACCTGTCACTTGGACAGCTTCCATATCATAGTTTAATATGTCTCCTAGCTTTAACTGAGTTCTTACTCAAGCATTTTGTGATAAGTTTCACAGTTAGAACTGTTATTCCTAATGTATAAAACTGCCTTTAGCTTACTGAAACATTTGCTTATAGCCCTAATGATTATAGGACTTTGCCAGAAACTTCTGCTCAAGTGTTATTGGTGAATCCACAGCTGCCCTGTAGTTGGTTGGGTGCAATGGTCAAAGAGAGGGAAGGTCAGATATTGTTTGATACTTACGAGCTGATTCATTGGGTGAATGTCATTAGCCAGCTCTGAATATGCTGCTGTTTCTTAAATGCAAGTAGACTGCCGTTTCAGTTTCTGCATTATCTTTTGCTTTCTTTAGGCTCGATTTTATGCCCCTACAACTATTTTTATTGATGAGATAGACTCGATCTGTAGTCGCAGGGGAACCTCAGAGGAGCATGAAGCCAGCCGACGTGTGAAGGCAGAACTGCTAGTTCAGATGGATGGTAAGTACCCTTATCACTGGGAAGTCCTGGACTGGAGGAGACTTGAGGGAGAGAAAATAATAATTAAAGCTGCAGTTCTCAATAAGCAATTTGTTGGAAAGCCTTACATGAAATTGGAGTAGAAAGATACAAATGCACCGTTGCAGCTTTCAGTGTGGGAGATAAAAAGATACTGATCGTTTAACAATCTCAGTGACCTCATGTTACTCACCCAGAATAATGAAGATTCAGTGGTGAATAAAAGATTTCAAAACGAGAAGAAAAAAAGTATTAATTGTGCCTCTTGCTCATTTATTTAGCATATCACTCACTTCTGCAAAACCAAGTAAAAAGTAGTTCAAAAGGGCTGTCACCTGTTCCAATTTGAACTTCAAAGGCAATCCTTACACTTAGCTTCTGTGGGGTCTCTTTTTCTCCTGATGATATAAAAAATGAAGGCAGTTTTTTTATAGAAGCAGTTGGGAGAGTTTTCTTTTTAAAACACCAAGTTTGCTGCTGCTCTTTGGTTAGTATTTTCAAAGTCAACAAAGATTAAATAGTAGGTAGCACTGCAAAGTTGCTATAGAGGCATCCTTTTCATACTCTTTTGGTGAGCATGAAGAAGAAAAGGAGCAACTGAAAAGTGCTGATCTATGGAATAATTTGTGACAGAATTCCATGATTCAGAAGATTTGTACATTTATTTGTGGTTCTTTGATGTTGATGCCCTTTTATGTTTGACTTCAAATAGTAGCAGAGCTGTAATGCTGGTCTCAGAACACAAGTATGCACAAGCTGATTTTATTAGTAACAATTATTTGAAGTCCTTTTACTTGAGCATTCATAAATGGTAATTTATATGCAAATTTTCAAGTAGACTAGGCACAATGGCTATTCTACAGCCCAATCCTATGATTGCATGCAAAAATAGTAAATGTAGAGGGTAACAAGTTTAATTAAATCAACCTCTTCATACAGCAGCAGTTTAACAGTGCTTTAGAGACTGAGGTGTTCTCTCTGCCTCTGAGAAGTTGTGATTCAGTCCACCAGATGTAAACATTCACTTCAGCAGTTTCTTCGAGTCTACCTGAGGATGTGGAACATCTGGCCTGAATGCAGAAGTGAAGAAACTTTGTAGGGGGGTAATGCTGCTTTTGCATGGTTGTTAAGTCAGAACTGTTGAGGGATGGGGAGGACATCTGCTTTTTGGTGTGGTGTTTTTTGGGTTTTGAGTGGGTTTTGTTTTTCCTCACATTCTAGTATAGGATCTTGATGTGAAAATTCAAACGCTGCAATGGCAGAAATGCAAACAATTCTGCTGTAAAAGCATTCCAGTCATGGTGGAGAGAAACTTTGATCTGAGCAATGGCTTATGCTATTGGTTCTAATTAAACCAGGTCTCCCATTTTTGCTTGCAGGCTGTCATGTAGATGAAAAACTGAACTCCGTTGCACTTCGTGATGCTGTTGTACCTGAACTCACCAAAGCATAATAGAGCAGCTCTTTTAGTATTCTGGAATTGTGACTGTTGTTCTCTTGATACATGAAAGTATATAAATCAAATGTACATTTTACTTTGTGTTTTCTCCAATGCAGGTGTTGGAGGGGCTACTGAAAATGATGATCCTTCTAAAATGGTCATGGTACTTGCTGCTACTAATTTTCCTTGGGATATTGATGAAGCCCTAAGGCGGAGACTAGAAAAGAGAATTTACATTCCTTTACCATCAGGTATGAAGACTTAGGGAGAAGGGTGGTTGAAAAGACTAAAATCTAAACTCATATCAATATTCCTTAAGTTTTGATCACCTGGTTTAAATATCTAATTGAGATGTATATATTCCTTTATGAATTGAGGACAAGGCTAAATCTAAACATTGAATGGTTACTTTTGTAGCAAGTACAATGTCTTTCTCATTCTTCCCTCTTATCCCTGTTCGATTCATTATTTATCTTCAGAAAGCAAATTGTATAGACTCAATTTTCTGTTCTTTGATTAGCAAAAGGTAGAGAGGAACTCCTAAGAATAAATCTACGAGAGCTGGAGCTGGCTGATGATGTCGACCTTGCAAATATAGCTGAGAAAATGGAGGGTTATTCAGGTGCAGACATTACCAATGTATGCAGGTATGCTATCATTGCATGATTTATGTTACTACTGCTACAAACTCTGAGAAAACTGTTTGTCAAATAACTGATTTACATGGTAAAAATTGTTGGATAAAAACAGATTCACTTGTCTTTTATGTATGGCTAAAAGACAGAAATCCTGTGTTAATTTTTGCTTAGATTTCCATTTGATATTTTCTTCCAGTAATGATGAAAAGCAGTTGCAACATAGTAATCTAAACAAAATATGACTTAGGTAAAATTCCATGTTCTTTTGTGTACATCAAATTCCTTGTGTGAGGAATATCCACAGACTGGTAGGCTTTAACTGGTAGAGTTGTTGCAGTCATTCTATGGAGGTTATAC